AAAAATTTCGTTGCCTCGTACGTGGGTACCACGCATACCTAGCGTCTGGGTTTGAGCTCACTAATACACACTTGGATGAGGAGCATCCTCTTAAAATTTCAGTCCTCTAGCTCCTCAGGTCCCCGAGTTAGCAACTTACCTGAAAAAAAATTCACGGCCCCGTACGTGGGTACCACGCATAACCGAGTGCTGATTTTGAGCTTATTAATATCTGCATGGACGGGGAACGTCCTCTTAGAATTTCAACTTTTCAGCGTTTCTGGTTCCCAAGTTAGCAGCTTGCCCGTAAAAAACATTGGCGGGCCAGTGCGTGAGTACCACGCGAGTAAGAACGCCCACTTAGAGTTAGGGCTCAGACGTGCAAATAGATTAAGTTCCCAAAGTTTCAGCCCTGTACAGACAACCACATAGACACACGCACAGACACACAGACACACACACATAGACAACCCTCGTCAATATGCTTTTTCTGCATTGCACAGATGCAAAAAACGGATAAAAACCGATTTCTCAGCAGTTGCTTCATCCGTTTCAATGATAAATTGGTAATGATTAATGCCTGGCAGAAAATCCCGCTATTACCTTACTTCAAAGCAGTTTTTAATTGAGGTAGCCATCGCCTGACAGCTTTACTAGCATAACTGTTGTTAACGCATGCCACTACTTTGGATACTTCCGAGCTCTCAGTGAGAGAGGAAGGGGGATGAGTGATTACTGTGGGGATTTTAACCTTTGATTGAGTGTTTTTGCAAAAATAACACATCCAGCTGGGGCTGAATTTAAAATCTCTGAGTTCTACATTTTTTGGACGGGGAATATCTCCTCAAAGTTTCAGCTTTCCAGCTTTTCTGGTTCCTGAGTTAATGATTTTTCCGCCTAAACTTTTACACGCTCATATTCGGAGCCCAGGTGTGCATGAGGGTTGGTACCGCAGTCCTGAGTGGCACTTTGTCAGAAAACCCACTGGCAAAATTTTAGCGCTGAAGCTTGCTTCGTTGCCGAGTTGGAATTCCCAGACAGACACGTACACGCTCATACATACACACGCACACACACCGGGATTGTCACAGTATGCGTCTTTGCATTTACATGTATGCAATTTAGTCGAAAGTGCACCGACTGCCGGTACGAGGATGCGTTTTTTGCACAGTTCCCCCGCTGGTTTTTTTCGCCAGTGACACGTTCTTCCCGGCAGATGCTTCTAGCTAAAAGAATTGGGACTGACCACCACGACTGTTAGAAATTATTACAACGACTCCCAATCCATGTCCTAAAAATTCAGCGCTCCAGCTGCTCTGGTTGCAGAGTTATGTCAAATTCTACGTGCTCGTACGTGAGTGGCAACGTGAATGCTTTCTTCGCCCGCGCTTGCTTAAATACGGTCCTGGGTAACGGTCAGAAAGTTTCAGCACTCCAGCTGCTCTGGTTGCAGAGTTACGTCAAATTTCGCGTGCTCGTACGTGAATGGCAACGTGAATGCTTTCTTCGTCCCGGTTGCTCAAACACGGTCCTGGATAACGCTCAGAAAGTTTCAGCATCCCAGCTGCTGTGGTTGTGGAGTTATGCCAAATTTTACGTATGCACACGTAAAACGTAGGTGAGACGTGAAAGAGATGTGTAAGTCGTTTTTGCGTGCATCTGCTCAAAGGCCACCGCCGGTTAGGTTCAGAAAGTTCGGGTTCTCTGGTGGTTCAACTCTGAAGTTACAAAAGCGCATGCGTGAAATTTTCACGTATTCGTACGTGAGGTGCAGAAGAGCTGACAAGTAATTTACTTTCACGGACACAACAATGGGCGACAAGTAACGCTGCAAAATTGCAGCTCTCTGCAACTTATTGGTCAGCTTAAATTTGGGATTGGCATGATACCAGTTTAAACTTTAACGTGTGCGTACATGAGACCTGGGGGTGCGTGAAGGCTGAATTTGAAATCTTTGGATTGGACGCGGCCAAGGAACAACTCTGTGAAGTTCCAGTCTCCTAGCATGTGCCGTCCCCGAAAACGCTTTCCCGCCAAAAAAACTTTCACGTGCCCGTACGTGAGAACCACGCGGAACCAAGTGTCCATTTTGAGGATAGGGGCCCGCACGCATGTGTAGATTAAGTTACCAAAGTTTTAGCCTTGTAGCTTTTATGGATCTCGAGGTGAAAACTCATTACAGACGAACACACAGACACATATACATACACACACAGACACACACACACAATATGCGTTTTTGCATTGCATAGTTGCAAAAAACGCGTAAAAACGCACAACGAGTAACAATCCTCAACACCCACCACTGACATTTCGAGACGGCTAAAGCCTTGCCAAGGTGTTTCTGTCGGGCGATCATTTGAGTTGGTAAACACCCACTAGGGACGAAACCAGCGTCACGATCTCCAGGAGACTACCGGGCGATGCAGCACTGGACAAAGCAGCTGAAAAAGTTGCCAGTAATCGGAGTAGCATTCATCGATGGGATTTTATGTCTTTTTGCCAGACATCGTTATGGAACGGTTTTTTTTTTTGGTTTTTTCTTGAAAAAATTATTACATTTAGTATATAAAGAGGGGAAGAGAGGAGGGGGTGGGGATGAAGAAAGAAATTGCTTCTAAGATTAGTATTATTAGGTCACTTATCTCCACCGTTATCCTGTGGCGAGTAATGAGATGTTGGTGCAAAAATTCAAGATGCTCGCACGTCAGAACTAAGCCACGAATTGGCAGATGTTCTAGTTATTTTAGGCATTTTGTTTTTCTATTTGTGCGTATTGATGAATTTTTGAGCGTATCCACAACCTTATTCCTTAGCTCGCAGTGCATTCAGGTCAGGAGCAACAATGACAACTCTTTTCGCAGGATAATTATGGTTCTTTGCCATCCTTGTTTGAAAAAAGTTTGCAGCTCGCAAATATTTTTTAAAATTTTCATGCTCCTTGAAAAATTTTCATGCGTTTTAGCTCCCCTGTCCTCCGTCATTACGCAGTTTGGCCATTCTGACTCGTTCCAGCAACCGGAAATCGCGTTGCAAAGGCCATGAGTATCCTGCGTGTATATGCTCTCTATTTGCATTTCGAAAACGCAGCATGAATGAGCAAATGAAATGTCGGTTTCCTTTCAAGTCTTAAAATCGGTAGCGTGACTTTATTATTCGTTAGCTTGATTTAACATATTCTAATTAGTCTTCACTCTCCCCCTTTCGATTAGATTTTCTAAACTCGCTTATACTTTTTCGCATCTGAACAGCTTTAGTGGTGCAGAAAGGAAGTGGCGGAGGTTTCGCTGGCATTGCTACCAGTGCATATGGTACCGTGGGCATCTGGAACGCACGAAACAGCTGTTTTTCTACATCTACTTCATCTGTTTAGTTGGCATCTTTTTCAGTTGTTTTGGCCAAGTGCTGTATTTTCTGGAATGATCGACTTGTTGGTAGAACTTAAGCCCGCTTTCATCTTATGAAGCGAAATGAGCTCACTGTATAATGATGTTCCTGACAAAAAAAACTTGCAAAGCTTCCATTTTTCAGATGTCCAACTCCTCCGAAACTGCTACTGCTTCACCGATCAGATTTCACCTACAAAATACTTAAAAGTGGGTTCGTGACAAGGAATGAACAATATAAAATTTATATTTTCCATCTAGTAACTCATCAGATTCAGAGAACAAAATGAAAAACGAAAACCTCTTCATTCGATTCAGTCGATATTTGGTTAAGAGGGAAGGTGTCAAACAGGTGGAAAGATTCGAAAACTGCACAGTGGAAGCGATGAGAAAGAAATGCGAACTACTCTTGATCTACTCGTATTTATAAGTTACTCGATAATATTATTACCGATGGAAAAATAGGCTTCCTCGGAAAACATCAGCCGAGGAAAGAAGCTGAATTCCGAAGACAGACCACAATTTCGCCGTAAACAATCTGCTGGAATTCGCAAGTGCCGTAACTCCTCCTTTGTCTTCCACGTCAGTTACCAAAAATCATTCAAAAGCGCAGAAATGAATGCTGCAAGCTGTTGTAGAGGTAGGATTGTTGGAAACTATGCGGGAACTATTAAGATAGCGAGCATAGGCTGCTCGATACATATAACATTTTTTTCCACTCCGCTCCTGACACTGATTTGAGGGGTAGCTTTTTTACAATAAACAAATGAAAAGTAATGGCTGCTATGAAAGTATTGACTTGGCATAACTTTGTTCGATGCGTAAAAGCAGTCCGGTAACATATCTTACGCAGGTTCACCACACCGATTTTCTTTATGCTTATATGATTATATAAGCACCTACTTGTGTGTATGTACTTGGTTAATTCAAATTCATGCCATTAGCACCAGGAAAGCTAAC